AACTAATTTCATAAGGGCTTTAATGTGACAAAGTTTGAGAGATTTCGATTTTGCCATCTTGCACACCTATCCGTGGTATGTACAAAAAGTCGCTCTTAAGTGGACAAAAAAAAAAAACAGCATAGCCTGCATAGGTGGCAGTGTTTTTGGGCACTGAGTTAACATGAAGACAAAAAAGAGAAAAAACAAGGTCAAAAACTGCAATTTTCACTTCCCATACCTTTTGTTACTCTGCCACTTATTTGTGCAGTCCTTCTGATCAATTTCCTGACAGCTCTGCAGACTAAGAAAAGGAGAATCATCAATGAGTGAAGTGTTTACCTCTATCATATGTTTTATAAATCTGTGCAATAACAGACAGACAGGTTTGTTTGGTATGAATCTTTTAAGTTAAGTGTACTCCAGTCTTTTACATATGTGAACAAGTGAATGCTATGCTCTGTCACACGTAAGTATCTTTTGTGTTAACACCATTTGCATTAACTTGGCTGTGTTCTTTTTACTTAAGGACGTGGAACACAAATGTGAGTTGATTTGTGGCAAAAAGCTGCGATGTGGTCTTCACCAGTGCTTGGAATCTTGTCACCCTGGTTACTGTCCACCTTGCTTAATGTCAGGTACTAGTCTTCTTAGCTCATCGGTCTGGCTTACCCAGGCCTTTTTACTGCACATAAAGCACCCCAACGAACAAACATGTCAGCAGAAGACACCAGGAGAAAAACATATGCCTTACTTGTGGAAGTGGAACATCTGTATATCAAAAAAGACAAATCAACAGGTTGTAGACCATGGTCCCGCTGTTCAAAGGGTAGATAACGTTATCCAACCGATAAATTGCTATTCCGCAGAAAAGTGTCAGGATAATGTTCTGTGCTATCCACCAAATAGAGATTTATCCAGTGGATAGCGTTACCACCCTTTGAACAATCGGGGCCTGTAGGAATTGCTAATCAAGGCTCAAACTGTTGATTGTATGCAGTGATTGTCCAGTTGGGGTTTGTTCTTAAAATCTTACTTTTGATGACTGCCCCAATAGTCAGTGATGGTTCAGCAACCTGAGCAGAATTTGTCTTCAGAGGCAGAAGAGGATAAACTGTAACTCTGAAACTCAGGTTGGATATACAGTTTTGTGATTTTAACAGCTGTTGAGACAGATCTTTAAAGATCTCTACCATTCTTTGAATGTGCAATCACTGACCATTAGACAGGGAAGTGCATGTAAGCAAGGTTTTGGATCGTATCGTAAAATAGGTTGTGGTTTGTCATTGTGGTAAATAACTTTCTCAAAAGAGAAGAGTAATCGTTTGTCTCACGATGTGTCACTACAGATGTGAATGGTGACGTTAGACTGCATACTGCTACTTGTCTTCAGGTGACGAGGTTGGTTGAGAATGCGTGACCTCTATACTGTAGTGCTCAGCTGTGAATGGATGGATTTCCACAGCTGTGATTGGTGCAGCTTCGGATCAGGTTCCCTCCATGGTCCATTGCCACATGGCCCTTCTGCTGTTGTCTTCTTGATAACTCGCTTAGGCTTCTGGGATTTCAATTCCACTGTCTCTGTTGATGTTGTGAGGGTGAAGTCATGTTTATTATCTCTTTCATCCTGCGTGTGTAGGAATGGGGAACACGATCAGTAAACAAAGATAAAGTCAATCAATTAAGTATCCCGTTCCAGAGAAAGCAGTGTCTAGTATGGTTTGTATGCTCTGAGACAGTGGAGGTCTGACTCTTTGCAAAAAGTGTGCTCTTTGATTCTCTCCTGCATAGGTCTTGCAGTCTTGCTGATGTAGACTTTGCCGCACTCGCTATGAATCCTGTAGACCACGCCACCCTTTTTTACGGGGCGGATGGCATCCTTTCGTAGCACAAGGTGTGATAGTAGCGTGGTCTCCGACTTGTAAACAAGGTGTATGTTTTGTTGTAGATGGCGCCAAAGTTGTCTGGAAAGACCTTAGGCGTATGACAGAACCTGAGTGGATCTGAACTCAGTGAAGGGTTCAATGCTGATGCTTAGTGTCTTGGTTTTTGTTGCCCTCTGCACGGAAAAGGAAGGATTTCCACTGGAAAAAAGAACAGATGACAAATATTTCTTCTCCTAAAAGATAAGGACTTGAAAAAAGTGTGTATGCCTTTTTTTCAGTAATTTGCCAGTGAGCGGAATGGGCCATGTGGCAATGCTAAACTTTAACTGAAGAAGTTTGTCTCTATTCTATTAAAATCCCTATTTGAGATAAATGTGAATCATATAACTCACATATTTTTTGTTTGACTGGCTGATGACCACAGCCTCTACCTATCCAATCTCTGAGGAAAAGAGCAACGCAGTAAAACTGCCCGATGATTTCTCAGCGGAAAATCCTTGTGCCGTCAAAATATAGCTTTTGGTTTGCCAAGGGAATACTCTTCAGTGCTCTGCGAAGGAATAATGTCATGGCAACAGAAACAAACACAGCTACCTGTTTTCAACTTAGATTTCACCACAGAAAACAAACACAAACGCCATAAAGTAAACCTTCAATAACGGTTCTCCTTTGTAGGGCTTAACCGTACTTGCAACTGCCATTTCTTCTTTACTACTTGAGTACGATGTATCACAACTCTCTGTAGAGCTTGGTGAAGGTAGGTATACATTATCGCACATTATTTCAAGAGCATTTCAACGCTGACAAGTACAAAATTATAGGAGATGTTAGAGATTTGTATGAGTCAGCTGAGACTTTCGTGCCATAAAATTTGCTGGCTCACTTTTATTGAGTTTCTGAAACTTTGAGTCCATTTTTTCAGGCTTTGACGAATTAAAGTGCTATTGTGGAGCCACAGTTTTGTACCCACCAATTCCATGTGGAACTTCACCTCCTGAGTGTGAGAAGCCTTGCTCCAGGATCCATGCTTGCCATCATCCAGGTATGGTAGCTACTCACGTAGTTTGTGTTTTTAACGTTTAGTTAATCCTAAAGCATTTTTTATCTTGTTGACAAGAGTTTTAAACATACTCTCCATTCCCACTGTTTATTGTAGAGTCAAAAAAGGGCCTAGACTCATGCGATAGTTGTGGGTGATATTGTTGTTTATACTCATTTTATATGTATTAAGCATGACAACGGTTGAATTAAAATGGTGTTGTAAAATTAAAAGTGTCATCAAAAGCCAAGTACCTATTTTGCCCAGGTAACGTAGACATAAATGAAATATAAGAAAATCAGTAGTGTTTTCTTTGATATCCTTCATTTTGATCATCAGTGAATCATACGTGCCACAGTGATGAAATATGCCCTCCTTGCACGATGTTGACCAACAAAAAATGTATGGGAGACCACGAGGTACTGTTGTACTATACAAAGCTTTCTATTGTGGTTTGTTGACGTAATGTTTGGGAACTGCATAGAAAAGCTCCAATCTTACTAAGGGTTTATTTCAAAATAACGCAAGTTTTCCAGACATGTAATAAGAATACAACAATTATTTAAACTAAAAAGGTATTCCTTGGTCAGGAGAGTGAGGTAGAAGGAAAGTTTTGAATCTCCCTCAATGATTCAAACCTCAGACCTTCAAATCTGTGTTCTAATGCTCTACGACTGAGGTGCAGAACCCGGAGAGTTGCAACAAGTTGGATCATTTAACCTAGTGAGACCATTTTAGGCAGTTAGTCCGGTTTATGAAGTTACACCATTTAATGCAGTTGGACTATTTTAAGGTGATGGCACCGGATGCTAATTTGGGTTAATTTGAAACTTAGAGTTTTGAAACATTTGAAATGGTCTACGGTTTTAAACGAAATGACAAAATATCAAAGTGAAATGCTTGCGGTCTTTCTAAATATGCAATTATTTGCTCGACTTTTTGGGTGTTTTCCACTGTTTGAAATTGGTTTAGGTTTTTCCATCGCAGTTGAGAGAAAGTGCGCTCACCGGCAGCAAATAACATGAGAAATCCTTTTGAACATTTGATGTCATGAATTTGATCTGATTTCTTTAAGGTTCGCCACAACATCCCATGCCATGTAAATGACGTCTCATGTGGAAAGGAGTGTGGAAAACTACTGAATTGTGGACACAAGTGTCGTAAAATTTGTCACAGGGTAATTCAGTGAATAATTTATTTGTTTGGGGCTTAAATGCTCCAAACCAACGACAAATAATTGATTTTTTATTTTGTTGTGTTCATTCAGCCTCCATGTCTGAGTGATGATGAACCATGTTTACATCCCTGCGAGCTTCCACGTAAGGATTGTGGTCACCCCTGTGTAGCAGCCTGCCATTCTGGCAAACAATGCCCAGCAATATCGTGCAAAGTGAAGGTATTTTATTCTTAATTTTCTTTTCAAATTCTAAACAACGTTCCGATAATTATTCAAGTCTGATTACGAGCTAAATGGCTCATACTGCAAGTGTATCTCCCGGTTTCTGCTCAGAAAGCAGCGAAAAGTATTGTTCGTCAATCAAGAACCCGTCTTCCCCTCAATACCAGCAGTCTGTCACGTATGACATTACCATGCTGGATTTGCTGTGTTATTGTTGTTCAATGGAACGTGTGAGTGTGGAAGCAACAGTGGATAATGTTCAAACAGGTTTTTCTAAGAAGGAATGATTCTTTTTCAGGTCACAGTAAAATGCAAATGTGGCAGACGTTCAGAAAAGTTACCATGCCTTCAAGGGGGCGAAAAGACTGCTGTTACTCAAGCATATCAGCGGTAAGGTTGTTACTGTTCTTGAAATTAGTGCATCATAAGCAACAGCAAAGATGCCTTGACTGATCAGTGATTTTTTTTTTCGGTTTACTCTCAAATGTAACTCCTTACTTAGAAGTTCGTATTAAAGTGTCTATACGGCCAACAGGGTTTTTATAGTTTTGGTATGTATTTAACATGTAAAAAATTATTCTTAAATAAAAATTGGATTCTGACGAGTCTTCGCCCTGAAATCGAGCTTTAAACTTCTCGCTTTGGCCACGCCCATTGAAGGTGACCGTGAGGCAAAAAAGAGATTGGGTTCAGAATGGGTCGTGACGTCAAGTCAAGAACGCGCCAAATCGCGCCAGTGGTTCATTTCACTGTTTTTTTCAGTAAGATAAAGAGTTTTCGGCGACATAAATATGCCCTATAGATGTGTTGTAAAAGTACTCCGTTTGTCAAGCAAAGTAACAACACGACGCTCGAGACGCTCCTGGAGTGACGTCACTCATCACCAATCTTCCCTTACGCGGTCAACTTCATTGGGTGTGGCCGAAGCGGGAACTTTAAAGCTCAATTTTAGGGTGAAGAGGCGTCAGAATCAAATTTTTTGAGAATACTTTTTACAGTTTAACGAGATACCAAAACAATAAAAATCTTGTTGGCCGTACAGACACTTTAAAGTAGTGTACAGTCGAACCTGGCTTATTCCCCGTGGATAACCGCTTACTACAGGTTGACTTCTCAATATAGGTCGAACGCTAAATACAGGTTCCACAGATTAGGGGTATTAAAAAAACGATTCAACGCCACTTCATGCCATAATTGACCACTCAGTGTGCAGAATATCGCTCAAAATACTTCTTACTTTGATTTGGGGAAAGAAACATCGATTAAAAATTAATTGAAAGATTATTCTTAGTTTTATTTGAATGGTTCGGTTCTATACAGGTGGAAGACAATACGAACAGACCTTTGCGACTTAGTAAAGGGTGACCGCGACCGCTTCATAGAAATGACCGCTTTATTGAGATGAAAATTACAGTAGTTAAGTGGGAACAAATTCGGGATTTTGGCAACCGACCACTTAATACCGGATGACCGCTTAATACAGGTTCTGCCGTGTCATTTCTTTGGATGTTGCTGTTTCACCTGATTATTAGGATAAATAGGCAGCTGAGTTGTTTTTGTATCAGTAGTGTGCCAGTGCATTGGTAAATTGAGATGTTTGAAATTTGTTAGTAATTTGCATTGTAGTTTCATAGCAAAAACTAACTATCACAGTGCTAACCAGGAGAGGGTGGGTGTGCTTATATTGTAGCCTGGCCACGGAGACACTCGCAAACAAGATGAAAGATTTACAAAGTGGCCAGTCTATAGATATCAGCAGCATTATGAAAGCGGATGATAAGAAGTTACGACAGTAAGCTGAAGTTTCAACATGTTTCTTTATCTTAAAACTTTTGTCAGTTAGGTTCTTTGTGCTCGCCACTATATTTAAGGGAGTGGCAAATTTCATTTACAGGCCGCTAGGCTATCATTTACAGTCCTTTCACAACAAGCCTTAGTTGTTTTGCTTCATCGTTATAATATGCTTAAAAATATATCAAGCAAAGCCTAAATCATGTGTGAAACGCATCCAAACTTTCCGTCTTATCAAAAGCGTATCCAACCTTCAACGATCACAGGCGTCCCAAGCTCACGACTCCAGAAAAGTGAATACGTGTGTTTTCTTCCATGAAGGTATCACACTTTGTGTGGGTCCAAACGTGACCTCCCAGATGACGCGGTGTGAGGTTGCGGACATATTGTGGATAATTTATACGGCTTGTAAGACGTATGGGGAATGAGTTATCGTCGGTTTAGAGCGCTAATTTATGCGAAGTATTTATTTCAGTTATAAATTTAAGTGGAACAAAGATAACTCACCTCTTGTTTGTGCCATATGGTCTTTGCGATCCTTGGCGTGAAGCAAAGGTTACACACCAGGATTTCGACCCTTATCCAGTCCGAGGAGGTTTGTGTCGAGATAGGTCTACTCTTCTTCCTCCCCAGTGAAATTACTTTCTTAAAAAAGTACGCTCCGATTCGCAACGGTTCTTCGCGTAGCCTACGACACGAGGATAACGTTCAGACTCATAACGTGTGAAGCTTTCATTGTTGAATAAATCATTGATTTTCTTTTCTCTCGAAATGCGATCTTGGAACGGCAGTGGCGCGATAGGATAAAAACGAAAGGTACCCAGCCATTCCCCATTCTGAGTACCTAGCCACCATCACATGCAGCTTATTGATCTTGAAAATATATGACACATTTGATTGTTAAATTTAGGGTATCTCAATTATTTCTCTTAAGTAACTGCTTCACCTGAGAGAAGTTTACTTTTCACACACGAAAACTGTTGAAGAAGTACCCCCATAAAAACGGCTCCCTTGAGAGCCAACAAGAGAAAACAACCCTCTAGGAACCACCTTTGCATTAATAGTCATAACCAGCTTAAACTGCATGTTGATTCACCCAAATGAGCTTTTTTTAAAATAATGTCGTTCATTTCCCCGAGAAATTTGGAAACAAAAGCTCGTCGATGGTTGTTGCAGGGAAATATTTTCATAGAAATCTGCAGTTTATTTATTAACAGTCTCGTGAAAGAGATTATTTTTCTCCATATGTAAAAAAGGAAAAAACTCAGGAACATCTTTTGCAATTTAGAGTTGGAGGAAAACGACTGAATTTTTTTAGTGAGATGGCTTCTGATTTGCTTCCAAACAATTTATTATCTGTGGCGATTCAACTTCGGAAATCCTTTTTGTTTTATTAACTCTGGTGGATTGGTTTATATCTTGCTTGGAAATTTCAATTAACTTTAGAGATTGTAATGTTTTTAAATTCAGTTTGAAAGGAAAAGGTAGATCAAATACTGGTTAAGTAAGTTGTGTAAGATGTCCTAGTCCAAATCAGTATAGATTCCTGCGCACCAAATTAAAATCAGAAAAAGGATGTTGAGTGCATCAGTTGATTGACAACTGCTTGAATTCGTATTGAGTGGAAAGGAATTTAAAAAAACATTGACAAGGCCAACGACAGAGAGGTCTCCACCGGTACCTAATATTTTCTGCAGGAATTCTAGAGAATTAGCCGCAGATCTCAGTATATTGGCTGTCCCGTTTATATTTTCCTCAGGCTTGAGTGTAACAGTGATTGTCGTGTCTACGAACGAAACAGGTATTTAATTTTTTTGAGAGGTCTTAAAGTCATGATAAGTATTTGCGATTTTTACATTTCTGAGTACCTTGTCATGTTTGGCAACACATGAAACGTTTGAAATGTTTTGATGGGCCACAGGTTACATTGCAGGTTACATTGCAGACTTGTAAATAGATCGTGACGGAGAGTTAGCATTGCGTTGTTCTCAGTTCTGAATGTCCTGAATGATTGCTGACCAGGATCTTTTCAAGAGTAAATTTTTCAACAATCAGTTATTATTATTATTATTGTTATTATTATTATTGTTATTAATTTATTTTTTATTGTTTTATTTTCGAACGTTTTGTTAATCAGTAACGAAACAAAATGCATTTCAGTCACTCTGCTTCGTCACGCTGAGTAATCCAGCATTTACTTGATATGGCTTTTTACCTTTTCAACAGACGGTTGGCCGAAGCACTTGACATTGAAAATGCTGATTTGTCCCAAGAGGTGTCATTTCGCTTTTCACCATTCCTTTGGACGGAAGCTAGGTAGGTGATGTTGAATCTTGACAGGAATTTGCCCTGAAATGACCAATTCCAGGTCAATGGAAAGTTACTTCTAATAGAAGAAGCTTCAGACAAAATCCTAAATGGTGTTGCCTTTAGTCAGAGAAATTCTTGATATACAAACTTGATAATGATCAAACAACTGACACAGTTACCTCTTTTTTCCAAACTAAGATGTACCGAACCAGAGGCATACAAATAAGGGAATGTGTGTCACTATTTTCCGTTATTTTGATCAGAATTAAAGTTCAGTTCCTCTTACTAGTCGCTTCTTACTAGTCGAGGTAAAGGACCGGACCAAATTTCCCCCTTATAAGGCTGACTTAGGTAAGATGTGCGGTGCGTGAGACTCTTCGAGTTAGATAACTTAAAAGAGTTCGTTTGTTCCTTAGCTCGTTTTAATACACTACTTCAGAGGAAAGAAAGAATTTAGACATTTGTTTGCTCACTACATTTAAGATCAATTGGCGATGAATAATGACAGGTTTTGGCGTCAGACCTGCTTTAGATTTAATTGCGGTCCACGAAATTGACCAATCACAGCGCGCGAAATATTTGAACATACATGCAAGCCCACTCTTTCGACGCCCCTATCCTTGCAAGTAGGTTGGTGGAGTTTGCATAGTGTTTTCAGTTCTCTGTTTGGTGTCATACTATCCACACGTTGTGTACACGTAACGGGTCATTCTATTGATTTTCTTTTCCTGAACAATCATAGGCAAAATCTGAAATTTGCAAAGTCTGTCGAAGAGGCACTGGAAAATCTTGTTCAAACTACTCTGAAGGTAAGAATTAAGATCAGAAATGTGTATTGTTTAACAATGTGTGAGGGCGAACAGATCAGTGAATTGTAAATAATTTTCACTATTTGATAAATTCGACGTGAAATGTGGTTATTACTCATGCGCACTAAGCACATGGGTTCTAAAATGCCCTCCGTTTCTTCTTTTTTTTGGTGTCACATTTGTTATGCAAACTTATACATGGATGTATTTGGCACGGTGTTGACTGTCGTCTTCGGCTGACTTGTCTTGAGCGAGACTGAGATTACCCCGAGCAAAACTGAACGGTCATTAATAACTAGATCTGAACATTTCTAAGAAGTAGTATTAATGTCAACTGCGCGTGCAAGGAAGTGCAAAGGGGAATTTTTACAACAATATACAGGCGAGTCGTTGGCTTGCATCGTGTTTATTTAGTAGTCAGGAAATTTCGAGGATGCTTCAAGGGGAATTGTTCTGGCGCACCACCGTACCTTTGTTTTATTTAGAGGCGGTATATTTGCCAGTATTGAAAAGGTTGGTTCACATTTATGAAATGTCGCAGATGAATCGCCTGTGGCTTACACTGATCTTGTGTGGCAAATTATTCCTGATTTTATTCAACTCGCAAATGACTCCTATTGTTGACAGATTTTCCTGTTACGGTTAACTTATGCGACGTAATGAAAGTTAACTTATGTGAAGAATATCAAACTACAGTTACAGCTAATTAAAAATAAAAATATTGAATGATTAAGTTAACCTAATTGCAGCTTAGTACATTAATACTTACATTTATTGGGACATTTTAAACACTTAAGATTGCTGCTTAATGAGTGCCACAGTTTCGCTCCTCTATCAGCGAAAAAAACCTCTGACTAGTGGAAGGGCAGCAAAAAGGTATAGTAGGGTACTAGCTGATCGAGTTTGCATATCATGAACACAAGAACGCAGTCTAAACTTATTTGCGAGATAATCTGGGGCGCGATTATTAATGTAGTTCTGAAGTTCATTAATAATTCATGTGGGCAACAGCCAATAAGTGAGGCATATTTGGGTCAATTGCATGAACCTTGATACCCAATGAACGAAACATGGTTTTGATCTCAGATCAAACACTTGCATTTTAATGAGCATTTTCAATAATTAATACATCGTTAACAACAATTCCAAAAATGACCTAAATATTGTTTCATGAACGGTCTTCGGTGGATTTCTCTCCCCCAACTTCTTGGCCATCTCCGTCACAAACTTGCCAAGCTGGTAATTTAAGGTTACTACATCTTTTTCGTCAATGAAAATAGAAGGCTGTGTGACCTTGAGTAAATCAAGGTCTTTAAAGAGTGCCTCTGGATCGCAAAGGGGAGCTGTAACCGACTGAGAAATTTGCCATTCGCCATCTGCCTATTTGTTCTTACATTTGGTAAACGAGAGAATAGCTTTTCAACTAACACGCGTTCTTCATAAACGGTTTCTGGCTTCCTAAATCTTGCCGCTCCGTCGTCACTCACGGTCACACACCAACTACACCAAAACAATTAATCATGCATGCATATTAACGTAAGTGTATCACTGCATATTTTTTTATCGTTTCATTTGAGAAGCCATCTCAAAAACTCGCGCTTCGTGTTTCATCAGGGGTTCCAAACACCTCGAAACAATAAATTCCATCTGTGTCCCGCTGTTTGGCACCTCCAATGAAACATTCGCACTAGTTTTTGATATATTACTTGAAAACCATTGCTGCATCATTTAATCTAAGTTTATCTTTAATAGGGAGCCATTGTTTACGTCCTCCAACATGGCGGCCATGACGTAACGTGCAAACCACCTTTTGCTGGTATAGACCACTTTCATAAATGGCCGCCGTATAAATATTCTTTTGTTTAAATTTAAATTAGCTCTACTGGCCTCGCTTGAGATAATGCATTCTTTTGAATTTTGTACTGGAGAACGAGGCCAGTAGGGCTAATTTAAATTTAAACAAAAGAATATTAATCCGGCAGCCATTTATGAAAGTGGTCAATTGCTCCAAACATTTGATCAATATAATAGTTTGCCAAAAAACGAAGGCATTCATAAGTAGCAGCAGCGTTTTGTCAATGCTTAATTCTAATGATTTGTTTTAACTTAACTGGACAGTTTGAAACAGTCTCAGTAATATTTTCGTCATAACTGAGGTTTGCATCCTGTCTTTGGCTAGAGTCTCGAATTGAAGTGAAGATATCTTTGTATGGAAGACGACTTATGGCGTTTGCAACACTTATCTTCTCTCATGCATCTTCACTATCTATATTGTTGTTATATGAAACACTTTTTCCGATTACCTTATTTCAAGTCGAAAGATGGCTTTAGTTTTCACATTGCATTTCCGACTATGTACATATTGCATACCTATTTTGTGCAAGTTGCAACCTTGTGTGCAGGAGTCTAAGCTACCTGGAACTTCATGTTTAGTAATGTTCAGACTTTCAATGATTCAGTACGAGAGAGTAAATTGACTCCTCCAATACGAGGCAATCGATGTGGCAAATTTATCTAGGGCTAGTCAGTCAATCATCCAATTTATGGAGAATAATTACGTCAGACACGTAAATGCACTCAAAATCCACGCAGGAGAAGTAGCAAAGAAATATGTGGAAACGTATGCAGTGGCACGAAACCTTTAGGAAAGGGATCAACCAAAAAGACAGATTACTGAATACTGTGTTGGGTAAATAACCCAAAAAAGAGGCCAATTACGAAAGGATGGAGATATAAATAATTAAATAGATAATCTACATACCGCTGCAAGAAGGGTTATTCCAAAATGCTATTAATCTGAAAACGTGCCACGAAAAAATTAATCTCTCCTAATTGCCAAAAATTACATTTTCAAGTTTGTGGATTACTGCAATGCTTATTTCTTTTAAAAAGTCACTAGATATAAAGAAACGTAGTATATACCACACAGGTGAACGGTGCTTTTCGCGCGCGCTGATGTGCTAGTATGGAAATGATTGGCAAGTACTTTTGCGAGTCAAGAGTTAAATTTACGAAATGTTTTCTGTACGCTGACGGAAATAAACTAATTTTTTTTGTTTCGGTGTGGTATATAGTCAAAACAACTATTTATCTCGGTTTCAGTGAAAGATGTATATTTACCGCTACTTTATATAAGTGACATTGCATTAGTTAAATGTGAACATCAAGGGTGAAATTCATTCTTATTACCTTTCAGTCGACAACATCTCAAAGGACCCATTCCTTTCCACCGATGGCCTCAAATCAAAGACGGCTCATTCATGAACTCGCTGTTTTTTACAACTGTGCAACCAGAAGCTATGATCAAGAACCAAAAAGAAACACTGTTGTAACTGCTACAAAGTGAGTCTCCTGAAATAGGGGTGGGGGGAAAGGTACTCATGAGAACGTTGGGTATGGGGTGTGCTGCAGAAGTCTTCAAGTCCTGACCTAATTTAAGACAAATGGCGATCAATTCCATGAATTGTGGCTTCTTGACTTCAGAGATCCTCGTTTAACATAAGGGGTGTGACCTGCTGTACGTAGATCGGCTGCTATTTTAAAAACTGCACGCCATCTTGTAAGACCTGACTGAGGAATTCCTGGTGGCGAGGTTCTTGAGCTCACACAGTATGTCCTCTTCATCTAGTTTTCCATTTGAATCGTTTTCAAACATCGTTTCTGGTCTGCTTACTGATTATCAATGTGGCCTTTTAGCCTTCATCAGCCTTTTTCTACTATTTGAATAATATATCGCTAACTATGTAATCAGTTATAGGGCATGTCGTTGCCTTTTTAGGGAGTCTCGTCTTCCTTCTGCAAGATTGTCATCACAGATAGAGAGAGAAATCAACCCACCGCCTCCTCAGCCCATACCATTCCTGCCCTCAACACAGGAGTCTTCAAAAAAGTTAGTGATGGACTTAATTCACGTCAAGTTCGTTTAGTTGTGTTTGCAATATTACTCGTCTACGGAAAATTACATTTCAAGCAGAAGTATTAACCCCTAAAAATCACATAACTTTTATCTGCACCATATAAATTATATACAAGATTTTTATAATTACTGGCTTTTTAGAGTTCAAAGAATTGTCTTTATATTCTGCTCAAGACGTCATTTTGAAAGCAGGTCAGTAATTTGTCAAGGGGGTAATCCAATTAGGTTGTTGTCCAGAATGCCATTCGTTTCGCCAACGTATCAGTTCGCCAACGAACAGTTCGCCAACTTATGAGGTCGATTCGCCAATGTCTGTCAGTTCGCCAACGCTTATATGTTAGTTTGCCAACGTCCAAAATAATTGTTATAACAAATGGCCAGAGGAATAAAATTTTACTTTTGATGTATTCACGGGTGTTCGTAGGTTAGTATCGTTTGAAATCGTTCGTTTCTCTCTCCCCAATCTCTCATTTCCTCGACGGCTGATGGTGTTTGAAAAAGACTTTGAAAACCATCCAATGCTTTTACCCATTTGAGTATAAACCTACTGTAAAACATTTTAATTTAACGTTCGCGTAGTTAAATAGCTATTGACTCCCAATAATTTGGTTGATTACGCGTTGTTTATTATTCACTTGTTGCACTCCGTCCCGCCTAGCTACAAAGTCAAACAAAATCCGTTGATCGATCGACGGCCAATCGTGTTTGAAAAAGATTCGAAAACCATCCATGGCTTGTACCCAGTAGACTATGCTCGTGGGAATTGAAGACCTGAAAAAAAAAAAAAAGCCTCGACCAAGAAAAAGGCTCCTTTAGGAGCCATCAAATTTGCAAAAGTTAATGACTAACAGTAAAGTAACCTTAAAAATTTGAGGGGAAATGGGGCGAATTAAAGGTTCATGATCGACCGTCGATCGATCAACAGACTTTGTTTGACTTTGTTGCTATGCGAGTGCAACAAGCGACTGATAAACAACACTTCTTCACGCGTAATCAAATAAATATACTGGGAGTCAATAGCTATTTAACTTTTAAATTTAAATTTTATTCCCATGGTCATTTGTAATAACAATTATTTTGGAGTTGGCGAACTGACACGTAAGCAGTGGCGAACTGACTTTAGACTTTAGACTGACAAATCGATCTCATACGTTGGCGAACTGACACGTTGGCGAAACGACTGGCTACCGTTGTCCAATTTACGTTTTCAACTCTAATGCTGAGAATCTAAATACACGGTTCACGAGCAACTACTCTTATGGTTTCCGACCGCTCTATTCTTATTTGGCCCGCTTTCCAGCTCCAATTGATACGGCTTGAGTATGGAAACGTCTGTTCGTTATCTCCTAGGTAAGTGGCCAGGTTGCGAAGCATAATTGAAGATGGGGGCATCCTAGTCGAATTTCCCACGACCAAAGAACCCGTCAAAACTCTCAAATCAGACTTCTTTCTGAAATTTTCGCGGTCCAGAAATTAGTAAGGCGGAGTCGACACAATTCGGTCTGTGGCTGGTGGTGGCGTGATAATTGGGTAACATACTGTAAGCTTAAATGCTAGTCAACTGGCACAAATTAGTGTTTGCACGTTTTTATTAACATTAAAATCTGTTACTGTGCTAATGAAAGAAGATGTCGAGCCAACAAATCTAAAAGGGTGGTGATGCTTGTTTTTTTAACGTTATTGCTTATGCTTAAATCCTTGATTTTCTTTTGTTGTTGGGACGATAATAAATTAACTCTGTTGTAAGTGCAAGTGGTTCTACGCTACTGGTTTAACCACTCGCATAAGGAAATTTTTTTTCGCTTTTGAACAGTAAAAGCTTTGTCTCTTGACTAACCTTTTCGTTTGCAGGTTGTCTCAGGAGAGAAAAAAGGGCGCATGGGCACAACTTCCAGATTATTTTGCAGATGATTTCCAAGACTGATTTACAGGATGTTAACTTGAGATAATGAACTTTTAGAGACAGAAGTTAGGAGAAGAACTGAAGTGTGATCTTTATGGTTCTTTGCTTATAATTTGTTTACTCTCTTAACGTTTATTTTAAAAGAATTATAAACCCCCAGTAAGTATTTTCTGATGCCTTAAGAATTAGGATTCGAGCTACCGCTAGGTTATGGTACACTAAATTTTGTGGAATGGGAGTCAAGACTTACCAATAAACTCTATTATTATGAGTGTCATGTTGCTGATTTGGTTTGTATCTGCTTGAGCTACAAAACAACGTGAACAACGGTCACCATTATAAAACTACAAGCATCAGCATGGTCATACATGTAGGAAAATCGTAATTTTGCCCCTACTCATCTTCCAGGGTGATTAAAAAGTTCATGCTTTTTTTCCACAAGCCTTTTCCGTACATTGAATGCCGTTTCTCTGTTTCCCGCCTTCTTTTGTATATTTAGTAGTCGTCCTGTACTTATTCGCCTGATTACGTGATTTTATGCTCAGTGCAATACTGAGAAAGCACCTTGATGATACAGACCAGACCCCGCATTTTCGGTTGCCTTACATTCGGTAATGGCGCGTTAAAAATGGACGTTTCATGAACAAAACCTACTTGGAGCAGGTTATGTTTGCATTTAATATAAGAAACAGACTGTTAAACATACGTAACATGTAAAACAAACTTTATTACCGTTGGTACAAAACTTCGATGACGGCGATTCAGGTGGATAACATTGTCCCGATTGAGACGCGTTGAGAACTCTTTCATTAACGGGTGCTAACGGTGCTAACCATTTTCTGTAAAATGAAACTGCAAAAAATCAGTTGTTCACGTTAAGAGAAGAATGGTTTAATTTCATCATAAAACAAAAAAACTCACTGGCGCGGATCATAGTCATTTGAGCTCTAAAAGGTCAGTCTCAGCAGCGTAAAGGTGGCCGAACACAGTTTTCGCGCGCGCTTTTGCTGATGCAATTCAGTGCGCGCACAAGGACTGCAAAAAAACAAACATGCTGTTAAAAGAGTGGTCATCTTATTTACTCAACACGTACCCGCAATATCTATGCTAATTTTTTCTTTATAGTTGGCGCAGTGATTGATAGCTTTAGTTTTTTATTACAAAGACATGTTAGAAAACTTAACGGGGCAAATAATTCCGCCATTCTCAGCTTTTTCGTCGTTTCCGAAGAACCCAGTTAAATGTAGCGCATTCGTAGTAAGTAAAAAATTGCGATTGAATGGAAAATTGCTTTCTCGGAAATATGCCTATTTCTTGAGAACCACTCATTAGAATTTCACGAAATTTGGCACGAAAATACTTAAGGAAATAAGCAACTGGAGTATTGAAAAAAAATTATTCTTAACAAAGGAAATTCTAGATAATCGAGTGAATCTTCAACGAGGCATAATTAAAGATCTCTGTTAAATTGTTAGCAAAATGGTGTTAGCTTGTGAGTATCGTTACAAGCTCGTTGCATGCAAATTATAAAGAAAATCTATTCATGTCGCCATGCCAACGGCACCCACGTCAGCTTGACTATCAAAAAACAACGTTTGTGTCGTTTACTTGCTTGCTGACAGTTTTGGCGACCGAGATATCAAGGGTTTTAGAGAAAATGGTTAAAGGAACACAGGTATCAAAAACTGTGTTCAGCCACCTTAGGAATATCGCTATTGGTGGCACGTCCGCTGGAAACTTGGTGAGCGAGTGCTCACTATTTTCTTGGTGAAAGTTAACGCTGCCATTTTTTTATTACAGTAGCAGCAGGCTGGGAAGAGAAGGTCATTTTTACCAAGCGAGGGATTGACGATCAAAAGAAAGGTGAAGGCAGGAGGTGGTACAATAGAAATTTACCCCTTGCCCCCTCCCCCCCCTCGACCCCTTTATAACGTATTATATTCTTTATTATTATTATTACCCCTCCTTCCTTTCTAACTTTAAATCAAACATGGCTGCTGGGAAACAGAAATCAAACCACTTGATTTGGCTTGTCTGGTTCACTGACGATGATATGTTCATAGGGCGTTGAGCACGTCATACGAGCTACGAGCGTGCCATGTTGTGCTAGGGACTGTGGGAAGGTATTTTGGGTAAAAACTGACTGAGAAACCCCTGGGGACGAGATTGTATATGACGTCACAATTTTGATCCCAGAAGACATCCAAGGGTCGTTTTGGTCCCTTGTCAGCGGTATGGTCAATATCACTCGTATGGTGGGTCGTATATGGGGGCCTATTATGTCCTCAATACCAATAATATACCATACCTTGGATTTAATTAATATCCTACACACACACATAGCAATAAATTGCTAAATACAGCTATTCTTGCTTTTCACCCACGTGACCTTTTGCTTGACAACGGTTGCTATCCGCCATGTTGGTGTCCCTCGACAGTAAACAAATTGATCGAAAAGAGGAGCTATTGTGAGGAAACGTATGAGAGTTAACTATGGTTTTATGCATTGTGTGGGGATGTGGATCCAAAAGTAGCAAACATAAAGGTCTTGGATTCTTTCGGATACCCAAAATCATCACTAACCAAGGCGAAGAATACGAGGAACTGACTAGAAAGCGTAGGGAAAAGTGGATCAGTGCAGTAAGTCGTGGCGATACTGCAGAGAAGAATATCCTCGAGACAGAAAGAGTCTGCGGTCGTCATTTTAACCAAGGACAGCCTGCGAACGACTTCGATCAATTCAATCCAGACTGGGTACCTTCCCTAAATTTAGGAAAGAAAGAATATCGACGTCCAAAGGACTTTAAAGCTTCTGTAGAAAGATTTGAGAGAGTTGAAAGGAGACGGAAGGCCGCCATTGAACAACAAGAGCAAGAAGCTACAAAGAAGAGAAAACTT